ACCAAGGCTCATCATGCTAATAACTGAAACTAAGTTCGCCGAATATCCGGAGCATAAAGAACATCATGAAGATACAAGGTGCGCCCTCGTCGCATTTCCAGCTTGTATGTGCCAATGCCAAGCACCTCTATGCTGGACTCGTTCCCTATGTAAACTTTTCTGCTCCCAGCAGGTACTCGGCAATACTCAACGAACCCTACTATGTCCCTCGCGATGTGGTCTGTTGCTCTGAAGTCTACAACCCAAAAATGAGGAGAATGAGCAATTAATGCTTGACTAGACACAAAGCATTAAATGTGAGAAATTAAGTAAGGGAATACCTTCTTCTGCTCAGGGCAATCCCGAGCTAAGTGTCCTTCTTTATTACAGTTAAAGCATGTCAATTTAGCCTTTACCTTCTTACCACCTCTCTTACCCCTACGCTTGAAATTTCTAGCGCCATTGGGCTTAAGCGCAGCTGCTACTTGCTTCTTAGGGGCGCATTTTGCTTTTCCACGTTTGAACTGAGAAGTCCTACGTGAGCTTGACTCAACCCCTATAGCAGAACCATCAGACTTAGCCGCCTCAAGGCACTCAGCCTCTAGCTCCAAATGACGCGATATGTCTTCGAATGTTTTCACACTCTTATTATGCATCATGTTCTGCTTCATCTACTCCCAAGAATTTGGCAGAGAGCGTATCACAGCCTGTACTTGCTGCTCTTGAGTCAAATTATGCCCAGCAGCCGCAAGCTCACGTATCATGGCTGACATGACTCTCAAATGCTGCTTCATCGAGTGATGCGCCCTTTTCTGATATGAGTCAAACTTCATAGTCAGCCCACGTAGCTTTGCCAAAGAGGTAATACCAAACTTTTGCTTGAGAGCTTCCCATATCTCAAATGCAGTCGGGCAATGCCCAAACTCACTAATCAAGTCGTTGTGCATGCTGCTCAACATAGTAAAGCGCGCACACCAATCTTTGTTACGCCAAGTCTGAAAGGCTTCAAGATCACGACGATGTTGAGCGGTATTGCCCTGCTCTGGCTCAACCATCACTTGTTCAAGTGTGGTCAACACCTCTTGCTCATTGAGGAGGTATTGGATCTTACGGCGCCATATGTCATAATTGTCGCCATCCAATTTCTCTCCCTTAGTTAAGTCTGCCACCACTGAGAATGCTCACTATAGCGAATGAAGATACACTTCTTTCCACTAGGGCCCAACTTCCCAAACTTATGAGAAGCGTTGTGTATGTAAGCTGCCGAACCCCAAGGCCGCAAATTGCCCAAATCAGGCTTTTTGCCAGTCCACATCTCATATGGGGTGGAAGGAACTGATTTGGAGGGCACACGGTTAAGGACGTAGGCAGCAGTCAACAAAGCATCTCCAAAAAATGAGTTCAACTGAATACACATAAAAAATATCACCACCTACGTAGTCCTAAAGCCCTAACATGAGTAAGAAATGCAGTCGGGCAATGCTCAAACTCACTAATCAAGTCGTTGTGCATGCTGCTCAACATAGTAAAGCGCGCACACCGATCTTTGTTACGCCAAGTCTAAAAGGCTTCAAGATCACGACGATGTTGAGTTGTATTGCCCTGCTCTGGCTCAACCATCACTTGTTGAAGTGTGGTCAACACTTCTTGCTCATTGAGGAGGTATTGGATCTTACGGCGCCATATGTCATAATTGTCGCCATCCAATTTCTCTCCCTTAGTTAAGTCTGCCACCACTGTCTTAGCAGCCGTTTCTACATGCAGAGTAAACAAATGCGTAGGGGATATTAATGATAGCAACACACAAAAAAAATATTTTGCAGCAAAAGAATCAAAATTAAATAATGATAATTTTACACATGTCTCAAGATCGAAAATTTGCTATGCTCGTAATCATCTCTTGCGCCTTTAGTGATAATTATCAAAATTTAATTTAATTCCATGCACAAAAAACAATCAATCTCCCACTACTTATGGCATATACAAAGCATGATATATTCCATACAATAGCATCTTAATGTAAATTTACAAATAACTCATGCTATATTCATTTAATAATGGAATTCAAATAAATAAATAACTAATCATGCTTCTTTAATTGCAACATATTACAAACCCTAAAAAAAAAATATGTTGTATTCAATTTTCAGATTATGCCATAATAAAATGTACATCATTCTAAAATTTTCTGGAATTTTTCTGAAATTTTCTGGAATTCTAAATAACTAATAAACACACATAAAATGAGAAATAAAAAATTCCAGAATTTGATAAACTAAAAAAAATATACCAGTAAATAGTAAAACATTTCAGAAGTCTACAATAAAAAATTCAACCCCAGAAAATTATTTATGCAATACCACAAGCATTTTAAAGCATAAATAATGAATTATTATCAATGAAAAAATACTTTTTATTTTCATAAAATTTTCAAAATTTTACAGAATATGGAAAATTTAATTCTGAGTCTGCTAGTACCAACCACGTATAAAACAAATCTATAACGAATTAATTATGACCATTTAACGCGATTCAGAATTAAAAACAAAACAAATAGTGCCTTATTCAACAACAGCCAAGCCAGCGGAGGAAAACAACGCGGCTCAGAGCGCGACTCAGCACGCGGCTCCACGAGCGGCTCAGAACGCGGCTCAGCACACGGCGCGCGTGCGTGGCGCGGACGGTGTGTGCGTGGACAGCGCCTCTGATGCATGCGTGATGGCCTGTGAAAGCGCGTCGAAAGTGCGTCTGGCGCGTGACAGCGCATGGAAGCCGTTCACGGCGTCAGGTGGCACGTGAGGACCACGCACCGCCTTCCAATGTGTTTTTTGGTTTAATTTCGGTACTTCCAGACTCCATTTTTCAAAATAAAATCATTTATGGTATTTAAAATGACATTAATGAACATAAAAATAGGTATTTTATGCTCTTAATCTAATGAGAGTAGACATCTTCTTCTTTTATAAACATTCATGTATACAATGTGTACATATATATATAAAAATATACACATGATTAAACAAAATACGAAAATACCCATTCATGCTCTAATACCAATCTAAATCAAAGTATAACGCAGTGGATGAAATTTGTGGTCATACCTTTTCAGCAGAGTCTGAATTGAAGGATCTCGAGGGTAAATCACGTGCTTCCTGAATCTGATCAATCAACCCAGCAATGGACCCACACAAGTCACAGTGCAAAATGGCTTGATCGTTGTATTTTGCGAGAGAGTCAGTATGTGGGAAAAACATACAACATACGTTGTTTTCCTTATTAACCATATCCCATATCAGATATATAAGATATCTATATCATCTATCCATATCAATTGATATGATAGATATAGATATCCTGAGTGGTTATCCAAATAGGTTTTGAATTCATATTCAAACTTATTTGGATAAGGTTCAAAAGGTTCAAAGGGTCATGCTACATGGGTGCCCAATTTCTAACAAAGCATTTTTTAAAAGATTAGGAACAAACTATATGTAGAATGGTATAAAGGAAAATCAAAGTGAAAAAGGGTTTATGCCAGATCAAAGAAGCTTGATGAAATATTTCACAATCAAGATTACTATTACATAAACAAAAATTCCACTCTTTGTTTTTTTAGAAAAAATAAAATAAAAATTGAAGAAACAAATCTAGCAACATCATCTATAGCCAAAACCAAGCTCAGACCCACATTATAAATATGAATGAATATTAGTAAAAATTGTTACTGTGTTCTGAATAGGTTCAAACAACAAACATCACATAAATGCATATATATATACATATATATATTTCATCTGGGTTACACAGAAAAATATATTTCAAGCAGAGAAAGGGGTTTCCTATTTCTATATAACAAGCAACAGCAGAAGAGTGAAGAAAATCAAACTTCAGAAACAGAGATGTTGCAGACAACAACTGAACCATGATGCCTCATATATCTATAATTATATATTTTTATTTAATAATCTATATAAGTAGACTAAAACAAATTAGGATTGAAAGTTTGAAAGTAGATATCGTAACTAGTTCAGGGCTTAAATGAACTTATTTCTATAAGAAAAAATAAAAATAAAAAATTAGAGCACCATGTTTAAATTTACACCATATATTCAATTTTTTTTCTTCATATGTTTTTCCTTGGTACATAATATTTATATGTTCTAAAATAATTTAATGTGAAGTCTTTCATTTTTTTGTTTATTTATTTATTTATTGGGTTAAACAGGAAGCTTGACCTCCCTCCAGTGAACATGTTTGTTACAACAGCAGACCGTGTCCTAGAACCCCCTATCCTTACAGTAAATACTGTACTATCTCTGTTAGCAGTTGATTATCCATCTGATAAGTTAGCTTGCTATGTGTCCGATGATGGTGCTTCTCCTCTCACCTTCTATTCTCTTATTGAAGCATCCAAATTTGCTAAGATTTGGGTTCCATTTTGTAAGAATTCAAATCAGAGCCCCATTTAGATACTTCACTATTGAGTCCACATCATCTCGAGATGTTTTGCTGGAGTTCAAACAAGAATGGAAAAGGATGAAGGTAATTCAAGCTGATGTCACTTGTCAAAACAATAATGGAATCTTAATAGGTAAATTTATTATCCAATAAATCATATGAGAATTAATGACATTTTTCATCAAATGCTATAAAAAAACTGTCACTAATTATCAATTTTTAACGATAGTTTGAAAATTGTCAAAAAAAAAATCATTAATTATAAGTTTTAGCGATAGTTAGAAAAAAATTATTACAAAAAATGTTACTAAGTTTCAACTTTCAGTGACAATTTAAAAAATTCATCACAAAAGAGTCACTAATGGTAAGTTTCAGTGACATTTTATAAAAATCGTGACAAAAAAAAATTACTAATTGTCAATTTTTAGCGACATATGTAAAAAATATCACAAAAAATTACAAAAGTGTATATTCTGGAGCTGAATGAACTATTAAATAAATACATATAATAACACAAAGAATAAAAAATTACATCACCAGCATAATGGCGAATAGTGAAATTAGAATGTGATAATTTTGGCTTAGTGAAGCATTTATGGTTTTGAATGTCTGGTACAGCTTTTGGGCAAAGGTTTCATGTGTTGATCTTGGGAACATACTACAAAAAAAATAAGCCTCATCTATCTCACAAGAACTATCAAATGAAATCATAAATTAATAGTTAATGCGATGAATTTATTTTCAAGCCATTACCCTACATAAAATAGACAATGCTTACAGTAGTATGACACTTACCAAGCTTCATCCAGAAGAGCTATTATGCCACCGGGTTTCTGAAAATTAAATAAACATATTTTGAATTAGGAAAGCCAAAACATGAATAAGAGAAGAACACACGGCCACATTTACTGAGCCATACATTTGTCCAATTAAATACCAAATTATGGACACAGGAATATGGAGGAAGTTACCAGCAACCAAACCAAAAAGAAGAAGAGTTCTAAAACAATATATATGCAAGAAAAACTTTTAAAACAAGGTCCACGTAAATGAGTCTCTTTTTCCATCTCAAGTCCACCTCATCTACAAATAATAAATAAACAAAATTAAAAAAGCACTCTGTCTCAACCTCTCTAATTTTTCATTCCACTTGTGATCTTTGACATAACATACAAGGTATCTTCACCACACAACACAACAAACCCTTGTCTCAACTTTTACTAATTCCTAGGAGGTTGGAGCTTGTTTTAGCTCCAAGCTCCTCTTTATTGATGTAAATTTTCTTTCCATCAATAAAGTTTTTTGCCGATCAAAAAAAAAAAACTTTTACTAATTCCTATATGCATTCTCATCCTTAATACACATAACTCCCAGGCTTCTTTTGTTTTCTCTCACTAATAAGAATATATATGTAGCTTCATTTTCTTATAAATTATCATTCAACGCGGATTTCTTCACTACCTCATGTTGCATTCATCTAGGAGTCCAATGTTGAGGCAACTTTTTATATGAACAGGAAAATTGAAGTGGCATGAAATTTTTACAATTTGAACATTAAGTAGTGTTATATAATGTCATTCAATAATATTAAGTCCTTCCATCCAATGAATATAGTACAGGATACAGAATTGAAAAACAAAGGTTGTAAAGTTCTAACATCTGATTGTAGAGTTCTAACCTTTGAATATAGCACAGGATCCAATGAATATTCATTCCTTCCATCCAATGAGATTGTAGAGTTCCGAGATTGTAAAACAATGGACCGAAAGCACTAACCTATGATCGAAGAAGACGAAGAGTTCCAAATCCACAGAGATAAATCACAAACAGAACACCACCACTGAGATAAATCACGGAGCTGAAGCAGATTTTGAAGGATTCGATTGGTTTTTCTGAGATTGTAGACGACAATGCTCAAAATCGAACTTCGAAATCACAATCGCTTTGAGAAACTACGAGATTGAAGCCATACAGATGCAGATAGGTTGGCTCTGAGAAACTTTGAAATCGCAATCGCTCTGAAGAAGAATTGAGAAAGAGCAAGAGAGTGAGAAGGGTGGTTTGGCATCCTTAAATAATTCATTTTTTTATCTTTTTTCCATCACTATCACCTGCTTTTCTATATATCTTTTCATAAAAAGATAAAAAGTACACTTATTTAGATCATTCCAAACAACCCCTTGAACTTCATATTGTAGACGGCAGTGGGTTTTCAAAATAAAGGTTTGGAGAGACCAAATAGGATTTGTGGAGAGACAGGATTTGGTGGCGTTTCTAAGCGTCTTCTATTCATAAAACGGGACCGTTTGATTAATAACAATTGCGACGTTTAAAAAACGCCGTTAATTATTAAGAAAGTGATGTTTCATAAAACGCTGTTAATTAAACGCCGTGAAATCCCCGATTTCCCGTAGTGCCTGCAATCGATCAAAGCGATTGCTCCAATCTAGAATAAAAATAACATTTTAGCACTTGTTGGCAATTGATCGCTTAGTAGTCACTTGCTGGTGATTAATCCTCATAAATACCTTAGCAATCTCTTAACTTTGAAAATATGCAGACTCACCAATTTATGCTAGATAAACATCCTATGACCATTGAAATGCTCATCTCAAAAAACAAATCAGACTTGGTGCATTTTGAAAACACAGGTGTCATAAGAATATACATGTGAGGGTAACATAGCAATGCTTACAATTGCTAATATGATCTTTCAACTTGGATACTCTCAGCACCTTATCTTGTTTACCAAGCCTCATTACACTGTCAGGACCAAGTTTTGTTAAATAAAAATAGCCAACATTTTTTATCCTAGATCATCTCTCATCATGTCCATTTCTGTCTCTTAACTCAAAACTTCTCTTTATCATGCGTTGAATTTTTTTGAGCCTTATCGTGTGATAATGAGGTATAGGATAGGAGGGAAGGGAACCCAGAACAAAATATCTAGCCTCTATGATATTATTTTTTTATTTTTTATTTTTTTACAGTGAAAATTTCTACTATAGCCTAGACCAACTTTGTTGCTCTTATTATATTAGGTAACAAGAAATATATTTTGTGAGTCATGGAATTTAAGAAATCATTGTACAATGTACACTACTACAAGAAATTAAGATTTTGGAAATAAAAATTTAAAAATAAAATCACTTTAAGGAAAAATATTGTAGTTGTAAAAAATGTCATTATTGTATTTTTAGCTATAAAATTGAATATTTAGTAATGGATTACTATCATTTTGAAACTAAAAATTCCATCTAAAAAAATATATTCCCTCCATTTCAAAATAATAGTCCATTTTGAAGAATTTAACTTTTTTTATAGTGCAATTATTGCACTTTAAAAAAATTGATTTTTCAAAATTATCATTTGAAGTACATTTTTTAGGGAATATCAATTGTCATAATTGTACTTTTTGTGTTGCTAATAAATTTAAAAGAATGACAAAAATAGGTAATTCAGATTATTTTAGTCCTTAATTTTGAAAATGACTAATATTTTAGAACAATGAAAAATAGAATAAGGAACTAATATTTTGAGACGAAGAGAATAATTTTTTTGTAGTATCACAGCTAGAAATTCAAAGTAGAGGGACACAAATTAATCACAACATTAAATTTTTTTTCTTCCTGTGATAAGTAATAACGAGATATTATTAAACTTATACACTTTTTTATTTATTATTTGTCAATCGGTAAGATATTACAATTATCATGAGATTTATATCAACATGACTTATAAATCCATAATCAACAACTAAATTCTATTAACCCAACAATAGCGACAAACAAATAACTAAATTTATAATTAATAAGTTCAACACTATCAACTTAACTAATAAAAAGAAATAACCAACTAAACAAATTTCATAATGAAAAATAAATTACCAATTGATTCAATTCTTTGACATGTTGGCTAAGAGTGTACAAAAATGAGAAAGAGAATATAATAGAACATTTTTAAAATTGTAAAAATATAAAGAATTTTACATGATTTAAGGAGGGATAAATAATATATAATCTTTATATATAGGGTAGTAATTATCAAAACTTCAAGGAGGGCACGTGACTCCCCTAACCCTTAGCTAGCTCTGCCACTACTTAAAAGTACATTTATTAGTGACATTTTCAAAATTTTGTTGTTATAGGTTTTATTCTTGACTTTTTGAGATGGCATTTTCATAATAACTCACATGACAACTGAAAGTAGTCTCCTAATATTTTTATTTTTTGCAACAAAAATTTTACTTTTGGTAACAAAAAAAAAAAAAACTTAGTTTCTAAAATCTTTATAAATTGTAGTGGAAATTAGACTTAAAATGTTGGAATACCAAATGATGGAAAATATTTTCAATTGAGTAGCAAGAGGTGGTCAGTGTAGTATCCCTTGAATTAACAAAGATTAAAGGTTACGCTAAATAATTCTTGTTTGGATCAATTTAAAATTTGAATTTTTTTTAATCGGCTTTTCTTGTTTTTATTTTCCTCAGTTAATTTTTTAAAAAACTTTTTTGAGGATTTAGGATTTGTTTGAAAAAACAATCATTTGCCTTGAATGGGGACAACTATATATTGATGTCCTGTAAAGAATTTAATTAGGGATTTCATATAATCCACTTGTACTCTGACTCTAGCTTAAAATTTTTTAATCATGGCTTAGGATCATCTGTTCCCAAATTACTATGTCATATGTCTTGAAACACACACAATTATCATATGAGAATCTTGAAATGTGTTTTTTTTTTTTTTTTTTTTTTTAACAAAGTAGTTTCATCCTGGTGTTAATTGGGGACCAAGTATGCTGAAATCTAAATTTGATGCAAATAACATATAAGGGAAAAAAGTTAGCTGTAAATTTGCGCACCTGGTGCCTTTTGTTAATAAAATTGACTCATTAAACAAAAATTTTATGGAATAAAGGATTTGGGGAAGTTTCTTGTTTGGAGAGAATAAAATTCAGGTTATATTCGCCCTTTGATTTCTTCTATTTCTTTTTCTCTGGTTGTTTTAGAGCACAAAGCTCATGGATTTGAGCTTATTTATGCTGGAAATAGCAGGTTTCTGACAAAATCAGATTCCGTGTGTGTTTTATCTTTGTTTATTTGGGTTCACTTCTGAATGTTGTTGGTTACATCGCTAAACAGCTACATCACCACATAGGAAGTCCAGTGAGTCTGTCAATTCTCTACATTGTTTAAACAAGGCTACTAAGTTGGTGTGTAGCCACAGGCCCTTTTTTTTTTTTGGGTTGTTAACTTGATATACATTATTGGACTCATTTCCTAATGACTTAAACTTTTGAGACCAGTGGTGATCTAGCATGATATTAGAGTTCAGGTTGGGGGAGGTTTTGAGTTCAAGTCTCTCCATTTGCATTTGTTTCCTGTTTGCATTCTGCATCTCTATATGTATATCTGTTTGCATCTCCATGTAGAAGATGGGGTTGCATGCAATGGAGGGTGTTGGATACATTGATATGCATTGTTGAACCCATTTCCTAACTGGTTATCTAACACTTTTTGCCTCTTTTGTTGTCTAGAATTGCATTTGCTATTGTACGTCTGTCTCAATCTAAAAGTGCTTGCATTCATTTTGAAACTTCATCTACTTCCTCAAGCCACTTGTTAAGTTAATTTCTTTTCTTTTTCTTTTTTGTTAAACAAGTTAATTTTCTTTATTACAAATAAACACGAGCACGTGCACATCTATGGATGGCCTAATCTAGCATGCCATCTCATAGAATCATTATCACAAAAAGATGCAATATTAGAAATAGAGCCATTGGCATTTTTATTAAGACTAGAATCATCCACATCCAAAACTAAAAAACCATCTGAAAGATAACCAATGCCATAAAAAATTGTTTCCAAATAAATGCTAACACCATTATTCTCAAAACAAAAGCTAAAACCAAGGGTCATCATGCTAATAACTGAAACTAAGTTTCACCGAATATCCAGAGCATAAAGAACATCATGAAGATACAAGATGCGCCCTCATCGCATTTCCAGCTTGTATGTGCCAATGCCAAGCACCTCCACGCTGGACTCGTTCCCTATGTAAACTTTTCTGCTCCCAGCAGGTACTCGACAATACTCAACGAACCTTACTCTGTCCCTCGCGATGTGGTCTGTTGCTCCGAAGTCTACACCCCAAAAATGAGAAGAATGAGCAATTAATGCTTGACTAGACACAAAGCATTAAATACGAGAAAATTAAGTAAGGAAGTACCTTCTTCTGCTTAGGGCAATCCCGAGCGAAGTGTCCTTCTTTGTTACAGTTAAAGCATGTCAATTTAGCCTTTACCTTCTTACCACCTCTCTTGCCCCTACGCTTGAAATTTCTAGCGCCATTGGGCTTAAGCGCAGCTACTACTTGCTTCTTAGGGGCGCATTTTGCTTTTCCACGTTTGAACTGAGAACTCCTACGTGAGCTTGACTCAACCACCATAGCAGAACCATCAGACTTAGCCACCTCAAGGCACTCAGCCTCTAGCTCCAAATGACGCGATATGTCTTCGAATGTTTTCACACTCTCATTATGCATCATGTTCTGCTTCATCTGCTCCCAAGAATTTGGCAGAGAGCGAATCACAGCTTGTACTTGTTGCTCTTGAGTCAAATTGTGCCCAGCAGCTGCAAGCTCACGTATCATGGCTGACAATACCCTCAAATGTTGCTTCATCGAGTGATGCGCCCTTTTCTGATATGAGTCAAACTTTATAGTCAGCCCACGTAGCTTTGCCAAAGAGGTAATACCAAACTTTTGCATGAGAGCTTCCCGCATCTCAAATGAAGTCGGGCAATGCTCAAACTCACTAATCAAGTCGTTGTGCATGCTGCTCAACATAGTAAAGCGCGCACACCGATCTTTGTTAGGCCAAGTCTAAAAGGCTTCAAGATCACGAGGATGTTGAGTTGTATTGCCCTGCTCTGGCTCAACCATCACTTATTGAAGTGTGGTCAACACTTCTTGCTCATTGAGGAGGTATTGGATCTTACGGCGCCATATGTCATAATTGTCGCCATCCAATTTCTCTCCCTTAGTTAAGTCTGCCACCACTGTCTTAGCAGCCGTTTCTACATACAGAGTAAACAAATGCGCAGGGATATTAATGATAGCAACACACAAAAAAAATATTTTGCAGCAAAAGAATCAAAATTAAATA